TGACCTTAAAACTCTAAAAGAACTAAGGATTTTAAAAGCGTTAATAAAAGCCAAAGAAAAGACCTTCGTAATTTTTTCAAATTTTTAAACCCGAAACCTTCTTCGAGTAACATAAGATCGACACATTAAAGCTATGCGCGAAGACAAAACCGGGGGCAGAACTTATCTTCAGGATTTGCAGGGATTTACAGGCTGTATATAAGAACCAGAACCTTATGCTTCTTTCAAAAATCGTTATCAACCATTTTGAAGACAAAACCAGAGGCAGAACGTATCCCCCAGACACACAATGGAAATTGAAGGACGGTTTGTAAGTCAGTAAAAAAATATTACACGTTTTGATTATTCTAAAACATTCACGTGTTTTAAACACACACACGATCAATCATGTATCATTTTTTTGACACCTATGGTTATATTCACACGTTATAAAATGGAAATTAAATATTTTTTTTGATACTCTATATTTAACAAAAATGAAATTTTTCGTAACTTTTCCATGATGCCCTTCACCAATGGTTTCTTTTTATGAGTCAAATATCTTCCATTCAAAAGTCTAGTGAATTTAGATTTTTTTTTAATTTTTTCCAATTGTCAAATAATTTTGACTTTTTCATTTAAATTTGGCTGCGTCCAATCGTTTCTTGGCGGAATCATTCATTCTTTTTATAATAATTATTATTTTGTTGTTATTAATCGTTATTGTGTGTGATGATTATTATTATTTTTCTTATTTTTGTTAAACAGAATCAACTAGAATTATGGTAAATCAATGAAATAAAACAGATAAGAAAAGGAAGAAACATTTCAAGAAAATGTCTTAAATCATTATCCTAACACGCAAAAGCAACATAAAATTATCGGTGCTTGGATCTTTAGTTAATTCACAAGTGATTGAAACGTAATCAATATTTCTGAAAATTAGCAAATGTGATAATTTTAATCAAATTTATTGTTATTTGAATTATTTAATCTTCCAAATCTTTCTAATATTTGTTTTTCTGAATTCCATTTATTATATTGTTCGTCTTTCCATATTGCTGTAAAAATGGTTAGCACATCCTTCTGTCAGATGTCCAACTTTTAAAATCATTTCTAAATATTTACGAATACAAAATTAACAGTATTGATGAGTCAATTCTGACAATAGTTGCATTGCTGGTTTTGAATTATCACCAATTCTTAATTTATCATATATTTCTGCAATTAATCTAGTAAAAATTGCTTTTCATTATCTGTAAGAGATGAATCATTTCTAATCATATCATATTTTTTAGATATATTTCTTGCTGCGTGATTGTTTTACGAATATTGAAGTTTAAGGATATGTATGTTTTATCCCAAACACTGTTTAATTTATCATTCTTGAGTAGTCATTTCTTATTTCTTTCTTTTAATATAATTTATTGTTTAATAATTTAATTTAAATAAAAATATAATGTAAATTTACTGTGAGTTGAATTTTGATTATACGAAGAAATTTAAGAATATATTAAGGAAATAATATTTGTTGAGCGAGCAGAGTATTACGTAAGTAATGCATTAGTGTAATTTACAAATCGAAGTAAATAAATGGACAGGATGACACATAAGAAAATTTACAATTATGATGATATTTTAATCGCGGGTAGATAGTAAAATATTTATTTAATAACGTTAAATTCGAATGATTAATGTGCATCGTTGGGACGAGTAATAATTTGTATCGGGATTTGTTGATGGCTTTTTGTTGTTATTTTGTTGTCATATTGTTGTCATGGATTTTTACTTGTACGTAATAATGTAAAATACTAAACTATCTAGACTATCTATATTATGAAAAAGAGTCAAAAATATATGATTTATTATGTCATTTGATATAGAGATATATTTCGAATGACCTTTTTGACTTTTTTTGATTATTAGTCAGTCTGATTATAGTCTATTTGAGAGAATATATATTAAATAACAGCGAATAATAATATTGTTGTTGTTTTTTTAATGAAATTTTTTTTGAAGAAACGAAAAAGAAAAATGCTGTAAGAATGTTTATTATAGAATAGATTTTTAATTATTACATTATTATTATTATTATATTATCCACAAGTAATCAAACAGATATTTATTATTATTATTATTTAATAGCAACTGTGCTCGATCCAATTGTCGAAAACCAGTTTATGTAGAATCTGTAGCAATCAAAACTATAGAAAAATGTTCCTATAGTTTTTGTCGTCGGCCAATATATATGGGTGCTGATGGAAAAATTTACCAATACACCTCTACTACCTCTACTACTTCTACCACCTATATTTCCTCTACCACCTCCACTACTTTTACCACCTATATTTCCTCTACCACCTCTATTTTTTCCTCTTCCACCTCTTCCGCCTACATTTGTGAAAATGCAGAAATTAATAATAATGATGATGTTAGTGGAGAAAAAAATTTATATGGAATTAAATGTTCTCGAACTGATTGTTCACGAGAAAGATTTATTGATCTCATCGAACCAACAAAATATTATTCATTTTTGTAATCGCGAATGTTATTGGACGGAAATTAATGAATTAACCACAATCAAATCACATGAAAATTTTTGCGTTTCTCTTAGAAATTACAAAAAATTAAATTCATATGTAACCAAATTTAGAAAAAAATATATAAAAAGGTGGAACGTGAAAAAGTTGAAAAACACAAAAAAGAATGACATCGATCTATGAAATAATTTTTCTTTTATTAATTAATAAAAACTTTTATCGAGGCAATGATCAAATATGTTTTAACAAGGACTAAATTGACCCCGTTGATAATTATAATCAAATCATTATATTATTGTTAATTATTTTTGTACAATTTTCATGAAGAAGTATTATATTTATGTTAATGCCGCTTGTGTTATTAATAAGGTTAAAGTTTGGATTTATGTAATAAATTCATATAAATTTTGAATAATAATACTCTAAAAATGTCTTAGAATTCTATAATTTCCTTTACCTGAAATGGTAAAATAAATGTGAATAAAATCATTATATTTCCATAATTTTTTTTTTTGAATTTTTAATTGGAAGTATTGATGAATAATAGTTGTTATTTTATAATATTTACTCCATTGATTTTTTAATTATTTGTTTTTATTTTTATTCACTCTTGATTGAATAATAATAGATAATGAAAGATTTAATATACTCCAAAGCATGATACAATAAGAATAGATATAAATAAAGATATATAAATAATAGAATTTATTATAATGAATGATGAGGAGAGATGTTTCCCTGAGAAGATTCTTCATTCCGTGAGATGTTACGATCGCTGGTATCAAAAAAATCTCAAGTTCACAGTATTCATTGAGAATTCTTCAATGCCATTCAACAAGTGGACATTTCCAAAAGTTTGTCGATTTTATGGACTCCGAATCAGAAGATTTGTGTGATAATTATGACAAAGGTATCGTAACGGTGAATGTGATCTTGCGATTTTTCTTCTATCTTCACTTTCATTATTGCAGAATTAAAGTCTAATTTTACTTGCTTTTTTTGAATTTTGAAAATTAATCAAGATAAAAAAAATTTTATGATAGAAAAAATAGAAAAGAAAAACTTCATTTATAATTTGAACAATTCGGCCATTTACCCAGTGAATACATTCTTTCTTCACATTGTATGTTTTTTATTCGGGTCTTTTCACATATGAAGGCATTTAAATATTTAAATAATAACTAGCTTTCTTCCGTGGCTTTGCCACGGAGATTTTTTAAGTTTGATTGTTACTGTTTTTTCTTTGTACAAATGGATATATTTACGTATTATTAATTTCATTCATCTATTTATTATTTTTTGTTCTCTTTTATTATTTTATTTTGTTTTATTTTTTTTTCATTTTTTTTATTCATTTTTTTTTATTTTCAATTCGAAACAACGATAATAATTATAATAATAAATATAGAGATTTTTTTTTTTGTTTTTTTATTCTTTTTTTTTTATTTTCGATTCGAAATAACGATAATAATAATATGATTCAACTTCCTTTTTTTACCAGGCGACATATTTGGATATTAATCTCGATTCTTTTCCTTAAAAATCCTTAAAAAAAACATACAATCGATATTGCATATTTTAAGACATTCACCAAATGAAAAATTCAACAGGTTTTATAAAACAGCACAAAACAAATATATAACCGTTGCATTGGTTATTTCCACGATCGATTAACATCCTCATCGTTACACTGATTATACCAATTTCTTCAAGTTATAACAAATCGATCATCAAAAACTTATAAAACATTAACCCAGCAAACAAAAGATCACACACAACCAATCGAAACGTTAAAAATCACAAATCCCATAGAGACCAGATACGAACTTAAATTATATAAATACGTAGATAGATAGATGTTCAATTTTTGAAAATATTTACTAACTTCTGTTAACTTTTGAGTGCGAGGTCATGAATCCGCCGTTACATGATTCATAAATTTATCATCTTTTAATATTCAAACAATCTTTGATCCCATTCTGATTTATTAAATGACCATTCCAATCGGTGATCTAAATGATGATTCAAGAAATGGTAAACCTTCTACCATTATTGTGACGAATGAAACCAGCATTGTGTAGTTAAAGACATACGAAAAGAAAAATTGTAATTTTACATGATCAAGAATTTTTTAATTTTTTTTTTTTTTTTTTTTTTTACATAAAATAATAATTTTATAATCAAAAAATATAAATATAATTCACATTTCATAATATAAAATTTAATTAAATAATAAGTCTTCGGAGTTTACTAAAATTTAACTATTGAAAATATTTCCAGTGATAAATTAATAAATATGATTATTCCTTCTTTTTCAATTGTAAAAAAAAATAATTCTAATTTATAAGATGACGATTAAAAAAGTTATTTAAAAATTTATTTTCGACTTTTTTTCTTTATTAAAGATTTTAGTTTCATTTTTAATTTTTAATTATTGTTTTATTGAATTTATATTATCAAAGAATTATAATAAAAAAAAAAATGGAAAACTGTACAAGATCTGAAATTTTTTCAACAAGTAGTAATGTTAATACAAGGAATACTCAAGATCATGAAAATACTTCTGGTACGAAATCTCAAAAAGTAACGAAGACACCAAAAGGATTAAAAGGATCAAAAAGACAACAAGAACAACTCAAAGAAAGGAAATTACCAAAAGAAAAATTACCGATTTCATCTGGAGAAGAAGAAAAGAGTAAATCATCGATATTATTATTATTATTATTATTATTATTATTATTTTTATTTGATATCCTATATGAAAATTAAAATAGACGACGAACAAATTGAAAAAATTGCTTTTCGTGAAAGCGTACAAAAAAAATTAAAGGAAATGGAAGAAGATTTTCAACGAAAACAAAATAAGTAAGCGTTTTTTGTATTTACAGTATATATAAAAAATAAACATGATAATGATGATTAATATAAATATAATATGTTATTTTTTTTGTTTGTTTAGAACGTATGAAGAAAGATTAAACCAATTAAATCAAGATATTATTGATGTTCGACAAGGTTCCCAACTCTGTTTTCTTATCATTCCTATTTGACATTATTTCATTTTTATTTGAAATTAATTTAATTCTTCCTTCTTTTTGAATTTTTAGGATCAAGTCCTGTTCTTAAAAAAGAACTTCAAAAATTTATTAATAAATATAATGAAGAACTTGAGGAAGCTCAAATGAAAAGGGATTATTATTTAAAATGCATTCAAAAAGAATATGAAGAAGAAACTCAAATTGTGGAAAATTATTACTTGGTACGGTATATATAATAATTGTAATATTACTTACAATAAATCTTTACAATATATTACTCAAAATATTGCTCACAATATATTTCTTAATATATATATATATATATATAAAGAGAAAGAGAAAGGAAATCGATGCTGCTCTCGTAGGAGATATCGAAGCAAGAAAAAAAATGCTTCTTGAAGATATCAAGACTTATGACCAAATTAACGGTAATTTATTTCTTTTTCAATTATTTTAATACAATAAAATTATATCATATCATCGATTTATTATAGTACAAGATGGTGAATTGAAAGGACATGTTTATGTAATTCTCGTATTACGAAGTAAAACGAAGACGACATTGAATTCCGATGCGCAAGAAAAAAAAATAACAAATCTAAAAGGTGTCGATATATATATATCTATCCATCGATATCTTTATTCTCTACTTTCTTTATTCGTTGTTAAATTAATTAATTTTTTTTTAACTTTGTTTGTATAATATAACTAACAATCTTCATCTACATTTCTTTTATTTATGTCATTATATAGATTTTCTTAACGTCCGAAAAATCAAATGATTACGAGATTGAAAGAGATCTCGCAAAAATATATATGGTCAGTTAACTTTATATTTTGTTATATTGTAAGTATATATTTATATTATGTTATTATTATTATTATAATTATTATTATAATTTTATTAGTATAACCATATTTTATTTTATATTTAATTACTTTATTATTTTTATTTTTATTCGTTTTATTTTTTTTTATTTTGTTTTATTTTATTAAAATATATTTTATTATTATATTATTTTAATTTATTAGGGAACAATATCTAGTAGAGTAGATACTCTAAGATCAAAAAATAAGAATCGTGTTAACAAAAAGTAATAAAAATGATATCTGTTCTATTATTGCGTCTATGCTTTTTTAAATATCTGCATCATCTCATCATTGAAAATTTCTAAAGTATTACACGTGTTTTGCATCATGGATTTAGAGACTAGAAATTACAGCTTATCTAAATTTTATTTTTTCGAAACAAAAAACACCTGATGGTCACTTGTAAACAAACAGATCGTTATTATTGATAGTTCATTTTTATTTTAAGAACCCTATTGTTTACGGTGGCTTGTTTAACCAAAAAGAATATTATTATTTGAGTTATTCGATCGTTTTTAATAACCGTGTATATACAGTAAATGTGCATATTTTTTGTTATATAGATTTAAGTATTATGTAAAAGTCGTCAGAAATGAACATTTGGATAACGATATACCTGATCCGATTTTTATCTTTATTTAATATTATGAATAAAAAAAACAAATCAATTTTTATTGTTATAGTAAATGCATTAAAATAAAAAAAATCAAATATATATTTTTTAAATAATTTGATAATAAAAAAATATGAAAATGAAAATAACAAAATATAAAGTTTAATAATGAAAAAAATAAAATTCGAAGGACCAACGATCCCACATTCATTCTTCATCGGCTAAAATAAATAAATTAGTTAAATGATATAATAATATAGTGACGTAAATATTTAGAATGATTTAAAAGTTTTTGTTCTAAATTTACGATCAATATCTTAACAAATATATCAACTGCTGGAATGATTCAACAGGCATAGCTTGGAGTAAGATCAGATCATTAGCGTTTTTATCTACAAAATGTTTTTATGTTACTGAAGGCTAGTTTAGATTCTTTTTTATATAAAATAAAGAAAATTCTCAATTGAATTCTACACTTGATATGATATGTTAAATAATATCAGAGTACTGTAAAATTATAAAGGTTCTGGGAGCATTAATATTGGTATGTATTTTAATATAATTATTTGATGTAATTATAGGAGAGCTGTTGCTAAATTCTCTATACTAAAAGATAGGTACTTCGGGGATCGGCATTATCTTGTGCAAGGGACAGAATTATTAAAATAATTAACTTCATTATTTAACTATTTAAATATATTTATAGAATAGTATTAGCTAATTCTATTATGGAAGAAACTAATTCAATTACATATAAAGAAAATGAAATGAAATAAATTACGAAAATTAGGATATTGGCAAAAGGACAAAAGAGACGCTATATTTTTAAAGATTTATTGAATATAATTAATTTTACTACTATGATTAAAGATAATAAAAGTAATCAACAAAAATATCTACACAATGATTCTTATGATTTTTTTTATTTTTCAAAAAACTTGGTTATTCAATTCTACATTAATGAGATAAAAATAATATAAATTTATCTTATTTTTTTTTTGTAGATTTTGATAAGGCGACAAAGAAAATGGATCAACATTATCCTGAATTTCGTGATACAAGTTTGACCAATCATAATTAGCATTTGGATTTTATAATATTTATCACATAGAAAAAGTACTTGAATTCAAGGATTTAGTAAAGAAGAGCATTTTACGAAAGTACATTATAAACATTTCAACACAATTAGCACAAAAACTACCCGCGTTGCATTAATAAATATTTGCAAATTCTGATTACGCGTTGAAAAGAGGACAAACTCAAGTAAAAGATTTTTTTGAATCATGAATTTAGAAAAATTACGTAAAAAGAGAAAGGACCATTTAGGTAAATTATATTATGAAAACAAGAATTAGTTGCAATTTTAAAATATATTTATTTTAAATTGATAATTTATTATTAATAATTATTTTGTAAATGGCATAAAAGGAAAAGTTGCGATATTCGCGTCGTCAAAAATTTTAGTGTTAACACTTTCTTATGTCGCTATTATATAAAATTTGCCAAATCATCGTGAACGGAAAATTATTGAGCAAAATATTTGGAAGGTAAATATTGAAAATATTGAGAAATATAATAATTATACTTAAATATAATTCATTCGTGATGATATAATTTAATGATAATAATTTGATAACAATTTGATCATTAATAATCGTTATTTTTTTAAAAAAATATATTTATAGAGCAATCCACGTTTTATTTATGGGAATTTGAAACGAACTCAGCAAGAATTATCTTTCGATATCATGCGATTCTTAGATTATTGGACATTTATTGGAATAATAATAATAGTGTGATTAACATTGGTGCAATGAAGCAAAGCTTATGGTTGGGAATATTTTAAATTGGAGTTGTCATATTTAATAAGATTAAAGCTCGCTGTCAATAATTCATTAGATCCAATAAAGAAACGAAAGAAGAGGTCGAGACAAAACTTAATAATATGGACGATTTGATGATAGAAGTGAATAATAATTATTCTCAACCAGATAATGAAATAATTCCAATAATTATTGATGGTAGTAATCATGACAGTAATCATAAATAGTAATAATAGATGATGATGATGATGATGGTGATGACGATGATGACGATGGACGACGACAATGATGATGATGACAGCGGTGATAATGACGATGGACGAACAATAAGAATCATAGCAAAGATTGTAATATATATATATATATATATATATATTGTGCATTCGTTTAAATTTAAGCACAATTAATCACATTGATTTTTTTTTTTAAAGCTACTCCAAATGATTAAGTTTTTGAAAAGAATTTATTGATATTTGTCGTCGATACTCTGATACGCTTTCAATTTGTTGAATATAAAGGTAAATTGACAACTTTAATGTATAAGATTATTTATTTCGAGAACAATGTTTGTAGATTTATTTATCATCATCATCATCATCATCATTATTTTGTATAGTATTGCAAAAGACTTTAGAAATGATAAGAAACCAGATCCTTTTTTTTTGAAAGACACGTTTTTGGCAGTAAGTAATCTTGAATATACTGTATAAAAAAGACTGTTGAAGAATCGAGAAAGCATTGGAATGTTGAGTATTTATATTTTTTACTGAGTCCAGACGATCATAAACCTATACGAGTAACATTAGTAATTATATTATTTAATTATTCACTTATGAATTTGGTCAATTTTTTATTATTTTTTTTAATCAATTTTCTTTACTTTTTTTTTTTTTTTGACAGCGAAATTATTTGGTATGACTATTATCAAAGACCTATTTTAGGCCTTTCATACAAATGTGTCCTCACTATCAATTTTATGCGAGTGGTTGGATTTTGGTAGGGAATGAATCTGAAGAATCAAATTTAGCAGATTCAAGAAATTCTTCTAAAAGCGACGGAACTTTTCCCTCATAGTATTGATTTGCGGCTAAGAATTAATCTTAGTAGGAATATTCGAGGTAATTCACTAGAACAAGTAATCTCACTTCCAATATTTATGGGATTCATATGTCTCACGGATGTGGGATATTAACGAATTTAAAAACAAAAAAATGGATCTTCTTGTTTTGTTTTATATCATCAATCATATTAATCTTATTATCAATCGTATTTGAAATTTTTTTTAAAGAAATACTTATATTTAATCGATTTACTCACCTTTTTCAAATATATATTTACTCCATGTAGTTGAATGAAGAGACAGCAAATATTAAAGATTTAATTGTGACCCAACTCTATAAATTGGGCACACAAAAATGGGGGGTTTGGAAAAGACTCTCCAAGTCTACAAAGAGTGTATATAAATTTTATTAAATTAATTCAAATCCTTTCTTAATTAAAACTTTTTTTTTTTATATATTTACGCGTTTATATATCTCTCTCTTATATTCTTTTCTCCTATTTCTCATTCTTTCTTTCTTTATATGATATAGCCTTCTGTCAACAATGATTCCCTCCTCGGCCTTTTACCGAACTTGCATCATAATCTAAAAACAGATGCAAGGATACCAATACAAACTTCCAATGTCAAAGTGCATCTAGAATGGGTTTATGAACAAGACTTTCAAATTTCAAAAGGCATCTGTTGTTATGGTTTAAATTTCAATTTAAATAGATTGGTAGATATATATATCATATATATATGTCTGTGTCTGTTATTTATTTTACTATATACTTTATTATTTATGCTAATTAATTATTTAATTTATTTTAAACACATCTCATATAAGAGATGTATTTATTTATATTACATACAATATATTTCTATAAAATCGAGAGACTGTTTGGTATGAACGTGCCTTAGAAGTTTTATCAGATCCAGAAGAATTTAAAAGAAGGTTTCGTGAATCAACATTATCACCATCGTGATCATCATAATCCCGGGGAACTAAATAATTATTACAAATACATCCTAAATAGCGGAATATTATTTTGATTAATGATGTAAAAGGTAATTTCCTTGAATTTTGGAGATAATAATTATGTATGATAATTCCTTAATTATATTTATCAATTGAATTTGTTATTTTATATGACTGAAATCTAGGAATTTTCTAGTTAAATACACTTCCGTCTCAAAAGTTTGGGACCACCCCTGCGATTTATCTTCGTGTAACTTAAAAATCAAAATATATTTGTGATACCTGATCACCAACAATGATTATCACAAATTATATTTTAATTATTCTTTGTTTATTGTAGAATATTTAAAAAAAAGAGTTAACGGATTTCGAGCAGGGCGAAGTTGAACTATTTCGAAAAAAAACTGGATATGGGAAGACTACCATTCATAATATTATATCTACATATCGTAAAATGGCAATATTTCTGTTGCTTTCAGAAGCGGGTGACCAAAAAGATCATCTCAAGATCGTTATTTTCAAAAATCATCGTAAATCATCTGAACAATTACAAGAAAACTTTAATGAGTGTACAGGAAATGAAGTAAGCAAAAACACTTTTAAGCGAACTCAATATTTGTGAAAAAAATAGGATAATTTTTTAAATTGGGCACGTGAAAAACAATCGTGAACAATTAATTATTGGAAGAAAGTGATTATGATTTACATTATTTAGGAATGATGGCAAAATTCATGTATGACGACTTCCAAAAGAAAAATATAACATTAATTGCCTTGTTCCAACTATAAAACTTGCTGGTGGAGGTGCCATGATATGGGGTGTTTTTTTTTGGTATGAATTAGGCCCTTTAACCAGAATTGATGGGCAGATTAATAGATATATAGAAGAAATTATTGGCCATCATTTTCTTCTCCCATGGTCAGTTCAGTCACATCCTAAAAATTTGAAAGAATTAGAATCTTTTCTGCAGGAATGTTGGTTGCAAACAGAAAGTGATGTTTTCAAAATTAGTAAATAGTATGAAGAACAGAGTGAAGACAATAATAAAATCTCATGATTATCCCACTAGAAATTAACTAAGCTTTATTAGATTTATAATAAAATAATTTTTAAATAAAAATTTACTCGCGGTCGCAAAGATTTCGTTTTTGATAGATCTATGGTTATTTTTTTTTTTGATACATCAAATTTTGATGTGACAAAATAGTTATCTTTTTGATGCATTTATAAATAAATTATTAAAGGACTATCAAAAAAATAACCACTTTTTCATGTGTATCTTAATATATCAAAAAAATAACCATAAATGAAACTTTTGCCTTGTAAGTCATGTTATTTAGTCATGTGGTACATTTAATATATAAAAAAAAAATGACCATAAAAAAAAAAAGGGTACCTTTGCTTTTGAGACGAGAGTGTACACTTCCCTGCCAAAAGTATCCGACCATCTAAAAATTCGTATTTTTTAAGTAAATTTTTATTTGCTAATAACTCATGATCTAATTTATTAAATTGGGTCAATTTTTTTTTGTTTT